TATATATATATATATTATAATTATAATAAGTTTAGTAATTTGACGGTTTTAACCCTTCAACAATTACCGACCGTTATTTAAGTACGGTACAATTCGGGTAAGTTAACGAGAATGTTTTTAAAATTCGGATCTTACACAATATATATATATATATATATATATATATATATATATATGCATGCATATATCATGGGTGAATATAATCACATATATTCACATAAATCAAATAACTACACAACATATAACCACTTTGGAATAATATGTTTACCAAGACTTTTCGAAACCATCCCAAATTATATAACCGGAACCCGATTATCACATCATCCACCCCTCAAAATAGTTCCGCCCCAGAATTCAATCAATCGAACCACGGGTACTCTGCTCTCATTTCAGACTCCAACTCCCAAGTTGTTTCTGAACCCTTATGGAAATGTCACTAAACTTTCACAAGATTAATTTCTTTGTTCCTTAAAACTTTGGTTTTCCGGTCAGTGATGGCCTCAGGAGTTTCCACAAAGTTCAGTTTTTTATCCAATTTTACCTCAGGTAACGGTACTGCCAAACTCGGATTTGTCAAACACTTTCGTAAGTTAGAAACATGAAAAATATTATGAATTGAGTTGAGCTCTTCTGGTAATTCTAACTGATAAACATAGAAAAAAATATGAATTGAAAATATTATGGACTGCAAGATTCGAAAGGAAATGCTCAGACGAAAGATGCAAGGAGAAGATGTTCCAGATTACATCAACTTCAACAATCTAGATTAGTCAACCTTTCAGTCTTGTAAATCTTGTATTTCTTTATCTTTTTTCCCAGTGTATAGCTTTTATGTTGTAAGCCTACTAAAACTGATTGTAATCAGTTGTAATATTTTTCCTTGTAAAATATTTCAATAAAATGATAGGTTCACTGAAAAAGATCCCTGAAAAGAGTAAATGGAACAAATACTTATGAGTTATATTTATTTCTTACATTCCTTGACACCTTTATAGTTAGTGAATATGCTTTCAGTATTCACTTATTTATATTATATAAGTTTATTCTTTTGTTATAATCCTTTACAATTAAAGTAAATTTTCATAGTAAACTGTATCCCTGAAAAAGATCATAAAATAGATAAAAGAGATAAATATTTTAGTAGTACCTTTTCCATATTATAATACTTAAAGAAATTTTCTTTATGTTGCTTTGTCATCACCAAATAGGGGGAGATTGTTGATCCTCTTTCTCAGTGATTTGATGATGATTCTTTTTATCTTATAAAGTGTATTATCTTTGTATTCAGCTTCAGCGATCATCAATGAGTCTGTTCAGTGATCGTTGAACATGTATTGTAATTCTCTCTGTATAGCTGAAAGAAGCTTTAGGGCCATAAGCATAAAATTTAGAAAGCTGAAGATGAGTAGGATCAGGTCCAAGAATCCCCTTCTCCATAGATCTAGGAGGAACAACTACTTTCTCAGGTTTCTTAGGAGTCAGATCAACCTTCAGTTTTGGGGTTAATCTGTGAACGGATCAAGGGATCTTTCTACCAGAAGTTAATGGTTGATTAGATGAAGGCTTTGAGGAAGTCTTCTTCAGCTTTTGGTTTTTCTTGGCCTTGGGAGTAGTGTTAGCAATGTATTTTCCTTTATCTAAACACTTTGAAATCTTATATTGTCTTAGTGATATGCTTGGATTATGAAGTAAAGGAACACTAAGTGGAAAATGTATCAAATGAGACAAACATTCCAAACTTAAGCATGTAATAGTCTCTATTAGGATCTTCTTAGTTATAGGAATATCCTCCACAACTCTTAACTTGAGTAGGTATTTGAGCATTGATAATCTCATATGCCTTTATTAAACCTTTGCACCATCCTTCGATGGTAGTCTTCTCAGCTCTCAGTTCAGTGATGGCCTTTTTGCGCTCTGTGATAGCCTGTTCATGCTCAATGCTGATAGCTCGGTTTATTGACTTGCTCTTTAAGATTTTTTTCCATCTTATTAAGTTCTTTGATTTTTTAATGACATTTTTCAAGTTGTTCTTGTAGATCAAGATTTAATTTCTCAGCTTTGTTTTTGTCATTAAGTGCATTGTAAAGGTCCATTGGCAGCATACCAAGCTCTGATAGACTATCAGTGCAAGAGATAAATAGAGAAAGATCATTCATATATGATACCTGAGTAGATGTTGGAGAATCATTTGAGAAAAGGTCTTAGATGGTTCATCCTTGACTTCTTTGATGTTGACCATAAGATAGAGGTAGACCGTGCCTTCTTCATCTGAAGAGGATTTATCAGAGGAATCCATCTAATCATGATCTTCAGTGACAAGACATTTGCCTTTTCGCTTGTAGTTCTTCATCTCCATGTATTTCTCCTTCGACTTCAGATATTTGTCATCTTTTGATTTGAAGGAGGATGAGGAGAAAGATAGTTTTGTAGCTCTTTTTGACCTGCATTCATTTGCAAAGTGTCCTTTGCGTGCAGAGTTAAAACATATTGCTGAAGCCTTATTAATAGGGGTTGATTTTGGCTTGTCAGCAATGGTCAAAGTTGGTATCCTCTGAAAGTTACTTTTCCTGGAAAATCTTCTAAATGTATTGGTTAAAAGGGCTAGTGACTCGTCAAACTCTAAAAGATCAGCATCTGTCAAGTCCTCAGAACTAGATGTAACTAACTTAGCGAGAATGAGTGTGGTGGTGTCTGCTGAAAGAGTTTCGGTGAACAAAGCTACAAATGAGATTTTTGACTCTTTTGAATCTTTGATGAGATTCTCCTTCAGTTGACGGGATTGCTTATGATTCAACAAAATCCCATAGAGAGCACTAAGAGAGAGGTTTGTAGAGACTTTGAGACACATAAAATAACTGTCCCAAGATTCTAGAAGACATTCCAAAAACTTTGTTAGAGTCTCGGAATTGGATATTCTCGACCGATATTCTTGAGGTCAATAAGTAAGCAATCAAAGCGCTGATATACCTCATACAAAGATTCATTTTTGCCACTTATGAACATTTCATATTGTCGCACCAAATTAATCTTTCTTGATTCTTATACTTCATTTGTACCTTGGAATGGGAGAAGATGGAAACACAGACTAGCGGTGGCGGATCCAGGAATTATTTTGAGCTGGTACACATTTAACCCGGTAAAAAGTTAATTGTATCAATTTGAGTAATAAAATACATTTTTTCAAATAAAAACGACCTTAACCTTTTGAATAAGACTATGTTTTACACTCAACATGCTTTTAGTCGAATTCCATCATTACAAGGGACTTTTTGTTTTTTTGGTTGATTTTCTAATCTGTATATAACCATAGTGATGAAATATATAATTTACTCTTTATAATATTTTGATTCAGGGGGTGTTTGAGATTATTGCATATTTAAAGTGCTTATTAAGTTATTCCAGTGTCGTACCGGTAATAAGGAGTTTCTAATGTTTGGATGGAAAAAGAAAAGAAATATTTATACCGGGTTGACACCAGTAATAGGGAGTTTTTGATAAATTACTCTCTTATAACTTATTAATTTATTCCAATGTGATACCGTTAATATAGAGTTTTTAGTGTTTGGATGAAAAAAAATACTTATCAACATACTTCATAGAACTTCAATTTAACATCACTTAAGTTAATAAACATTTAAAAATAAGCATAAATTGTTTTAAATAAGCAAATCCCAAACATAAGTTTACGAGATTCGGTTCAAAAAAAGCCTAATAAAGTTACCGTTCCCTTTGATTAAAAATCATAAGAACATCTCCAACAACTTCTCTATAATAGACATAGTCAACTTTTTATTCTCTATAATGCTTAAACAGTTTTCCGTCTAATTCTCTAAAATAAAGCATCATAAAGAAAACTTTAAACACAGAGAATTCTGTAAAACTCCAAACAAAAGAGAGAGAAATGAAATTTTTATTCATCCCATAATACTGGTTGAATTAACATTATTTTATAAATATATTTAAAAAATGTATTGAAATTATGAAATTATAGAATATTTAATAATATAATTAAAGATAAAAGAATTGTTATAGTTGATTGTAATTTATCTATACTACCTTATAAATCAGATTTATCAAAAGTTTTAAAAATAATTTTTAAGGCACAAAGTATTATATATTTATGCACAAAGTCCTAAAAACAACTCATAATATATTAAGTACTACTACTTTATGCATTCAGTCTTAAAATCTTTTAATCTACAATTAAAATAACATATAGTACAAGTTACCAATGCAATATTATTACTTTTTTCTTTTCATGTTCCCAAGATATTTTTTATGCATTTCACTCATGTCTTTACCCTCTCATACCTCTATGTCTTCTCCCTATCCCCCACTGTGAGATTTAAACTGATATTCACCATGAATTATTAAAAGTTCTCTCATTCATATCTCATTCAATTGCTCTAGAACTCTCGGTCTCGATCCCTTCATTCTTTGCTCTTTGTGTAAATCGAACATATTTGTGTAGTCGTTTAAATACGTTAAATTTTAAATATATTTGATTTTAAACTGTCATATAATTTTTTCATCGATAGACTATAATTGAAACCATAACTTTTATTTATTCAAATTATATTAATATATAAATACCAAACAAAACTTATATCATAATTAAATTTTTCTTAATAAAACCAGTAAAACTTTAAAATCTTTAAAATTCACAACTCGTAATCGTTACACAACCAGTTTAAATCTTTTTGACAAGCTCTTTGAGATTAGGAGAGGATGAAACCTTGAACAGCCGTAAAGCCGACGAAATACCTCTTCATAACAACTACTCTACCGGTTCATCTTCTAGGGTTTCGCTTTCTTATGCGTAAAGCAACATGGAATTCAACGATGCTGATTTCAGGCCTGAACCTGGACAAGGAAGAATCGTCGACACATTGAATTCTAGGGTTTCTACTTTTCCAATCGGCGATGAAACAACTTCTGCAGTTTCAATTTCCCAACTGGTAGTTGTTGTTCCATTCATGAATTGCTTAATGGTTGTTTTGAACTCGAGTTGCTTATTTGGCATCCACCTTCCCTTTTGATTGTGTTTGGTGTGGTTACAGATACCGGTTAGTTGTTTTTGAGTTTTCTTCGAGCTTATTTGACGATCATTCATGTTCATGTGGGATTGTTATTTGTACAAACCTGAGGTCAAATTCTGTCCCTCTAAAATAGATATTGTCAAGTCACGTATCGGTACGATCTTTTCTGTTAAAAAGGGTGTAAAAAGATATCTCCCTTCGTTCCACAAAAAATAGCATATGTTATTTGAATTTCTCTTCAAACTGATTAATTAAGGGGTTGCTTACCCGTGCTATAAGTGTCACCATCCTCACTAACCTTATGCCGGTAACAATCTCGGCTGTCAAAATGGATTGTTGGTAAGCATGTTTATCGTGTTAGCATGTTTACCCGGCAAGCGTCTTCCTCCTCATTACTGTTTAAGATTCTCTCCTTCTCCATCCTTGCTATGCCTCTTACCAGGTAAGATTGTCGCTAAGTGGCATCCGATAAGTGCGTAACCAGTAAGTGTTTGTAAACGGCTCTTAAGTTACACATTGATATGAAAGCTTGAACTATTCAGAAACTGTTTAGGTTTATAAAGAACACTAGAAATTCAGTTTAGGTGTTAGTTTGCTATAGCATCTGATCCATGAAAACAAATTAGTATCACATTTGAAAAGGAAGGGAGCTAACTTCTCATTGACAGGGCTGCGGAGCACTTAAGAACAGCGAACGTCCTGGTTTTCTGGATGAGCAAACTACCAGAACCAAAGACTGTGGTATGCCAGCTCAGCCAGCAAGGCTAAATGATGAATGTTGTGACGAAAAGTCTGAGGCATTAAATCTCAAGGCATTTGATCACACGAGTCAGGGAAACAATGTGATGACAAATTCTCTAAGCCAACACATGGCCGAAACTGAAGGGTCTATTACTAAATCATCATCTGAAAGGGCACAGGTCGAAACCGATGAGAACTGTGTTCCTGTCGATGAACAATCGGCCAAACATGAATATTGTGACACAGGATCACCTGAAAGCATTGGGGATAAGGGTGGTGATGATGACTCGAGTAACAGTCGTAAGATATTAGGAAAATACTTCTTTTACGATCCACCGCTTTCTGAAGAAACTGGAGTCTGGATACCTGTTTCGGTTCCTCCTATGTCAGAGAGTGAACATGAAGAATGGAGCAGAGGGTTCTCCTCAGTTGGGGGAACCTTCCCTGATGGAGACATAGAATGGCTTAACTTTCTGGAGAAAGACAAGGAACTGACCATGTGGGATGTGGTAGTTGAAATGCTACTAGCAGCTCGTGGAAAAGTGAATTCTTTGGCATCGGGTGATAACGTTTCATGGATATCTAGGCACCTAATTGATCAAGCTTGGAAAGAGATGGCCCAAACTCTTACAGAGGCCAATTTTGGTAATGTCCAGGAAATCCTTGAAACAGAACCTCCTAAATGGTTGCCTGATAGTTCTGCCTCTGCTTGTATGCTGTGTAATGTGAGGTTTCACCCCATCATGTGCACCAGGCATCACTGCCGGTTTTGTGGAGGAATTTTCTGCAGTGAGTGTACTAAAGGAAGAAGCTTGTTGCCTGTAAAATTCCGCATTGCTGAGACAGAACGAGTCTGTGATGTGTGTTTTGTGCGTCTTGAGACTGTCCAGCCATACTTAATGGATCAAGTGAGCCGTGCTTCACAATTGCCAACTCATGATCTCACAGATCTAAGCACTTTAAGATCCTGGTTGAATTTCCCTTGGGGGCAGTCCATGGAGTATGAGATATACAAAGCCACAAACACGATTCAAGGATATAGCAAGGTAAGATTGAAGTTATCAATAACTGATCATTTATACTATTCTAATCTTCATGAGTGAGAAATTAAGTACACAGTAATCGAATCAATCTTTAAAGGAGACCATCCTTCCATTTTGTTTATCCTTTCTTTTACTTGAAGTGCTAGCCTCTCTCATTTAGACTTGGAGACCATCCTTCCATTTTGTTTATCCTTTCTATTACTTGAAGTGCTAGCCTCTCTCATTTAGACTTGATCATCTAGTGCCACAAGTATAGTTTTTAGCTTATATCTTAATTCCTCTTGCGGTCTTGCCCATGTAAAAACCTTGTAGACAGTACGGATCTCCTGGGCATCAGGCTGAAACCACTATAGGTTCTTGGCGGGCGTAAGTCCTCAATTTAACTATGCTAGTAGCCCATCACAACTGGGTCATGCCGAGGGGAACATGCCATTCTGTCAACTGTCAAAATGCTCTGTTAAATAAAAATGTACAGCCATTTGATTTGGCACAATGGTGCAGGTTGGTTCTTTGAGACCTGAGAAGTCAATTCCTGATGTCATCTTAAGGCATGCTAAGGGCTTCGCGATACTTACTATAGTGAAGGTAGGTATGATGGTCACCTACAATATTGGCACTGGATTGGTGATTGCTCGCAGGGAAGATGGCTCCTGGTCTCCGCCCTCTGCTATATCTACTATTGGTGTTGGATGGGGTGCTCAGGCAAGAAACTCTTATTTTATTAGACAATTTTCTGTTTATATTTCAGTTCTTCAGGTGAATTTAATGTTATTATATTATTCTTTCCTTCATCGATCTCTTAATAACAGATTGTCTTCTGAGGCTAACCAACTAATTCATTTCCTCCTCCTTGTATGGACCATGGATATGAATATGAGAACCATCTTGTACGGTTGTACCTTGCAGTGGTGGACTCATATGTACGATCTTCTTTTTGTATAACAATAATCTGGTGTTTACACATCAACAATTATGAGATACATAATCACGTTTTATTGAAACACATATACATTTGCTTAGACAAATATGCAAAGGATTGAGATGGCCTTTGTTTTTTTCTTCATAAACCTATGTGTAGTCTCTGAAGAATTTCTTCAGCCTTTGACTGAATGAGGTTATTTTTCATTTCTTGGAAGTGAAACATGACAATAGGCAGTTTGATACCAATATCTCAAACCCATCCAATATATGATGGTTTTCATTCTTCCACTCTGGGGCTATTTGAGGTATAAAATGTCTATATAACGTGGTCGTTGCTACTTATTGCATGATCCAATAAAAGCTCATGTCCTTGCAGGCTGGAGGTGAATTTGCAGACTTAATAATTGTTTTGAGATCAGAAGAAGCTGTGAAAACTTTCAGCAGTGACGTTCATGTTTCATTTGGAGCCGGGTTAAGTGCAGCTATTGGTATTGTTGGACGAACAGCTGAAGCAGATGTACGAGCTGGAACTGGTGGCTATGCTGCGTGTTATACATACAGCTGTACAAAAGGTTAGCGTTATCATCTGTTTTTTTTATCTTTTTTTGAACAAATTATATCTACCTCAATTTATATAATAAAACACATGTTTCTATGACAGTTTTACAATGCAATGCAAATCTTAAATCTAAATGCTGTTAGTTACAACATAAGATGCAACTCTAAATACTGCTTTTTAATCAAAGTTGTAATCAATTAATCTCAATATCAAGTATCTTAATTAATTAGCAAGTTGGCATGTCCAAGAGTTAGTGTCAATGAATTCCAGAATCATGTTCTATTTAGGCTTTTAAAATGCCTAATTCACATAAAAGATCTAAAATAAAAGAAAAGTGAACAAAAATAAATTGAGCCTGCAACTCCAGATGAATCATATCATTAGTTGATCTTATTTAAAATGCAAGGTACTTTGGTCGGATTTTCAGAACTTCCATTTTTGCAACTTAGATGTGATATCTCAAACATGTGGATCAAAGTATGTTACACAAAATAGAAATTCGACTAAATTACGTTGTGTTTTTAAATTCTTAATTCAGCTATTTTGCTTGAATTAAAAATCACTTCATCATTTCTCGCACTAGTGCTTTTAGAACTATTTCCTATTCGATAGCTATTAGGAAATTCGAGTCCAAGTTTATGGGGAGTCCGAGCTATCAGCGACCTGCTAAGCAGTCCTCCAAGTCGGCTGTAGTTCATTCATTCTGATATTGTTTACGTTGCAGGAGCATTTATTGGATGTTCATTGGAAGGGAGTGTGGTGACAACACGTATGCATGAAAACTCCCGATTCTACGGAAAACAGTTGATAAGTGCACCAGAAATTCTCCTTGGTTCATTGCCTAAGCCTCCAGCCGCTGCAACTCTCTATCGTGCTCTGGCTGATATATATCACAAGGTTGAGATATGATATTATATTCATGTTGCTGAATAAAAAGTTTACCTGTAAATTGATTCAAGTAAATAGACAATTATCTGTACAGTAGTAACACATGTTTGTATATAAGGCTGTAAAATTTACTGCATATATTTGGTATAAAGTTCTTGCGGTTAAGCAGGTCTCATTCATTTATAAGCTGGTTCAAATGAAGGTTGAAGGATCGCGTGAGAATGAAAGTTATTGTAAGAAGCGTAAAAAGAGATCTGGACTTTTGATCACAATTAATCTCAACCCCCCACCCCATGAATTGTGTTTATCATGGAAATTGATTCGGTGCATCTTGGTATACCACGTTAGTGTTGATTTTCAATTATGATGAATTGATCCATTAGGATTTATCAAGGGTGGAGATTCCTTCTTACGTTTTTTATTATAACTTTCATTCTCATTGAAACTAAGGTGGCGTTTGGTTCGCAGAATGTTTTTGGATGGAATGGAATCTGTTAAAGGAATTTGACTTTGAAGGAATTGGATTGGAATGTTGTCAAGTTTGACCACTTGTTTGGTTGGCAGACATTGGAATGGAATCTGTTAAGGAATTGGAATCTGTTTGTTTGGTTCACAGAATGTAGTTTTAGAATTGGAATAAAATATTGGAAAATGACCAAAATGCCCTTTTTTGATTTTTTTTAAACTAAAAATACTTTAATAAAATAATTATTTAATATGTAAAACAATATAAAATACACAACCCAAATATAATCATAAGCCAAATGACGTTACTAAATCGACGGTGGTCGGCGGTGGTTCAGATCGATGGTGGTCCATAGTGGTTCAGATGGTGGTTGTCCGCAGTGATTCAGATCGATGGTGGTCCGCAATGGTTCATATGGAGGTGGCCAGCGATGGTTCAGATAAGCGGTGGCGACGGTGATTGTTCAAATCGGTGGTGGTCGGCGGTGTCCGACGGTATTCAGATCGATGGTAGTCGTCGGTGGTTAGCAATGATATACATCGATGGTGGTCCGTTGTGGTTCAAGTGATGATGGTCAGATGTGGTTCAGATCGGCGATTGATCATATCGGTGATGGTCAATGGTGGTTTAGATCGACGGTGCTTCAAATCGGAAGTAGTTGGCAATGGTTCAGATGTGGTTCAGATCGGCGATTGATCATATCGGTGATGGTCAATGAAATTGATGGGTTTGGGCCTATAGTTACCAAAATGTCCTTCCGTGAAGCAAAAGAGTTGAAAAATACCGTGCCTGCGAGCAATAGCCGGCTCAAAGCTGATCTGAAAAGCCAGTCCTAGTAGAGCCCAACCCAGGCCTAGGTCAGGCCAAAAAGGCCGATCAGCCCGTGTTTTTAGAGCCTGGTCAAAATCTGGCTCGGAAGATCTTGATTAGTAAGCTCAACCAGGCCTAGGTCAGGTCAAAAAGTTAGATCAGCCCAAGTATTTTATAAAGCCCGCTCAAACTCCAGCTGCAAAAAGCCCGATCGGGTCCATGTTCATGCCTAAAGACTTGCATGGGCTTTTTTTTGCTTACTATAAACTAGTGTTCTAAAAGGTTTGCCACAATAGCGTGTTATGGCTTAAGACTTGTGTCTTACGTTATGCTAAGCATGTGACACTCCATATCCATGGCTTAATGACGGTTTTTATAACGCTATATTTGGTTTCACTTTTTCTTATATTTTTGAAGGTCTCATTTGTTAGTTTTTAATATATAACAGAACTTAAATTGTTTAATAACATTGATCGAGTAAAATAGTAGAAAACATATGTTTATATAGAGCATCCATAGTTGTGGAACCTCTAAGAACCCACGTGTCATATCTTTTTTGTCACATAATTGTCACCTCAACAAAATAAGAACCTTAGTAAAACTACACAATTGAGGTTCTTATAAGAATCCCACTTTTCATTTTTTGAATTTATAATATTATTTATAGATTAATATATATATATATATATATATATATATATATATATATATATATATATAGCCAAAAGTTATTTTGAGAAGTGGTAAATATTTAAAAAGTGAAAAAGTAATTATAGTCCTTCATATGGTCAAGATCATATTTGACTGATCAATAATTATGACTTTGACTAATCAAAAATTGCAGCTATGCAAAAATTAGAGATGGTAGTTTTGTAACTTTTACAAATAAACGGCAAAACGGGTTCATATATAAACCTGAGAGCCTCTCAGGTGCATTTTCATAGCTCTATAAACTCCACAACTTTAAAAGAAAGTAGTGGGTGTAGTGCAAAACAGTGGAGTGTAAAATTTAACGTATACCGATATGGAAAACTAATGCATCTCATCTTTCAAAAGAAATGCCACAATTGAGATAAACATACAAAAAGGTCCGGTTAAAACCAACATAAACCATTACCAACAAAAGAGAGATCTAACTCATAATTTTAATTAGCATAACGTGAAATTAATCAAAGAGAGGGAAGTAGTAATAAGCATGGTAGGATATATGTATAAGAAACCATAACGACCCCAAATAAGACAACTCCATCCCATCCATCAGATCACGTCGTTTTTTTTTAAGTATATAATATTTATATATGGCAAGTGCAACAAATAAACTCACATACCCTCCTCACCTATGGTGAGGTTTGAACCCTTGACCTCCTAGAAGTCCAAGGGCTACGATACCGCTAGGCCAAAGACCCTTTGGTATCAGATCACGTCGTTACATACAATAGTCAGTGTTACAAAATGGATTCAACAATCAAGGTACAGAAGTTACTGAATATATATAAGAAAGCCTTAAAACCTAATGAAAGTATTGCTGAAAGAGTAGTTCAAAAACCTCAACTTAATGAAAATATATAGAAGTTATACTCTTATGAGTTTCTAAATGTTGATCCAAACTTTTGTGTTGGTCATAATGCCAAAAGATCAACATGCCATCATAAGGGTCCCCAAGAAAAACAAGTACAAATAGATGATTTAATCAATCAAACCATTTGACCACTTGATATGCTCTTAACAAAATGCCATTTGCATGATTCCAAAAACAATAGATGATTAATCAGTCAAATTGATACATATTATTTAAAATTTAAGATTACAAGTAAATTGTATGTATGTATAACTTATTAAAGCTCCATATTTGAATTCCTGTAACTAACTGCAGATAAACATAATCAAATACTGGATAGGTATCTCATTTTAAATATAAAATATCTAAAATATATTTAGGATAATCATTGAATTCTAACAGAATACTAACTATTATCTTTACAAAAAAATTATATCATTAAACCAAAAATAAATAACTTCATTATTAAATCTAAATTAAATTACAATAAAAAACTGAATTAAAGAAATTACATAAAAAATAGAAGAACTTTTAAATATTTAATTTGGTACTAAAATCGAAACATTTTTTTTAAAAATTATATGATACATTCACATTTATTTATTCAAAAAATAAAAACATTATTGTTTTTTAAGTACTACATAAAATCGTATTATAATATTGACGGAGACAGAATAAAACGAAATATTAAAATCAAGATTTATCTCGCTGCATTGCACGAGTACCCTTTTCTTGTACTTTTTAAGACGTTTAAACAATATACTTAGAAAGACGTATAAACGTTAAAAACTAAGAGCATATTGGATAATGGTAATAAATATTGTACAATTTAACAGGCTCGTTCCTGACATTTTATAGGCCCTGGGCGAACCTAAAAATAGGGCCAATTGCAAGAAACAAGCCTTTTAGTCGTCGCTAAAAATCCATTTATTATCAAAAAGAGTATATAACAACAACATGTTGTTGTTATAACTTGTGGCGGAAACATATCATCGCTAAAAGTTGCATCGTCAAAGCTCATTTTTCTTGTAGTGACCCTCGGTAAGTACGAAAAAAAATTCAATAAATGTGTTCCATTAGTATAAAATTGAGTACAATAAGTGCTAATAATTTACTGAAGAATGAAATCTTATTTATCTTTATTATAAATATATAAGAGAGTACTTAAATTTACATACTTCTTATTAGGTAATTTCAAACCAAGAGTATAGAAACTATGGTTGATTAATTTTTATAAGACGTAAGAGTTTTTTTAATTCATAACAAGAAATATGTGTTATTTTTAAGAGAATTCGTATGAATGAAGTAATCGTGAGGGTCAATGAGAGATCAACAATAAAGAAGATTATCAAGGTTTTCTAAACATGTAGACAAATGAGGATCAATAAGAATATGAAAGAAAAGATGATCCCTTGAGATTCAATAAAAATAAATAATGAATTAAACATATAATATGCAAGCTCAATAAATGATTGTTTGAACACTTAAATACAATCTTGTGGTGTAGTGGAATCCCAATGAAATATACATAAGTCAAACAATTGATGAAAATATTTAAATTCTAATTTTTTTTTTGCTCAACTAAAATAAGATGTCAAGATTAAAAAACTATGGAACATGACATATATAAGAGACATTACTAAAATACATCTAGTAGAAAAAGTTTATTGATTAATCACAAAACCATGAAACACGTCATAAATTATTTAGAACAATATATTGATTGCTAAACAATAGTAAAATAATTTATGTAGAAGCAAAAATAGATAACATAGTCAACAAAAACAATTAAAACAGCATAACCAAATAGCAATAATCAATAGAAGCATAAATTGATAAAAAAAGATATCCAACAAAAATATATAGCAATAGCAAATACACGATCTTAACGTTGAATTGTTGAAGCACGAAAACAGTTAAGCATATATAGATAACAATAGCCAATATCATTTGACCTTGTTGGAGATAAAAAAAACTAGAGAGACAATAAACAATAACATATAAGCCATATAATAAATGACCAATTAATCTTTTTTATTTTCTTCTCCAATGTAATTAGTTGGATATATTTTTAGGCCCTTGTTATCTACTAAATTCTTTTTACCTCTTATTATATAGTAACATAGATCAATTGTAATCTTGATTCTACCAAATATGTTCAACCAAGTTAGAGCGAAGTTGATGATAAACTTCATTTGAGTGCATCTCATAATTTCATTGAATTTATTTTTAGAATTCATGGTAGAACCTTGAAATATTATTGTTAAATTTTCTACCTTTTTAACAAAATAATATAATAATTATAATGAGATAATTAAAAATTAAACTTAT